GTCCCCCTTTACTCTTCTACCTGGCACCTTCCTTCCAGATGGAATCTTGGTGACTACACAGACTGGCCATGAGCTGTCCCCCTCTCATGCCGAGTGGTGCCATGCATCAGGAAGAGCTCAGCAGGCCAGGGTGCTTTCTCCAGTGTAATAGCTGCAGAGTGGAGGCCAGGCCCTTGTTCAGTTCACCTCAGAGGATAACCTAGGTTCTTCAAGGTTGGTGGCTGTATGTCTGAGATCTGCTGGCTCAAGGAAGGCAGGCAAGTGGCGGTTGTTATCATGGCCACTATCTAGGCCAGCAGCCTGGTTTGACTCTTCCCCATTCCTGTTTGGCTAAGAGAAGCAGAAGAGGAGGGGAAGGGAGAGTTGGTCAGGAGGGGCAGGGTTCTATCAATCACCGTCCCTGTGATACAGCCAGGGTCCACCCGGATATAGATTGGCATGGCTCTTGAGAGGTTCTCAGGGTGGGGTCGCCTTTCCTAGTCTTGGCCTAGCTCACTGTTCCCTCTGCAAGACTCCAAAAGGCTATGTGGGGAAAAGGCTGATGAGGTCTCTAAGGGGACGCAGACCACCTAGCAGGTGTGCACTAGAGTAATCTGGCTGGGGTCTGCATTTTCTGCCCTCAGCTGGGCTGTCGTTGAGAGTGGAAGTGGGCATGGGGGAGAACGCTGTCAGCGTAGTTATTAATTTTTCAGCATAGTTATTCTTAATCTAGAAGGCACACAGCTTCCTCCCCAAAATGTCAGGTGTCCCATAAAGGAGGCAAATGCTGGAACTGATTCAGATTCATAGCCTTCTTGGCTGGTTCTAGAAAATAGCAACTAAGCCTGTGGACTCAGCCCGATTTGGAGCTGAGTTCCAATTTTGCCTATTAACCTGTAGGCTTTGAGTAAATGATCAGATCTATCTCTCTGAGTGTCTGGCTTATTCAGGGATGAAGGTACTTACCTCAGGGTACTGGGCAGGGAGGCCTTGATACATAGGAATTTGGGTAATGTGGGAGATTGACCGACTGGGAATGGAACACATGACCTGGAGCTAAGCAAGCGCTCTACCAAGGTACCATGGGCTAACAACATTCCTCAGTGTGATAACTGTTTTCTGAGACAGGGTCTCATGTAGCCCAGGCTGGCCTTGGGCTCACTGAATAGCTAAGGATGGCTATGAACTCCTGATCCTCCATCTTCTACCTCTGGAGAGCTGCCATTATAGATATGTGTACTGTGTTGAAAATTGTTATTTTTGAAGGAACAAAAGCATATTATTCCTTAGCATCCAAGAAGCTAGAACTCAGCAGGGCATCCCCTCCCCAAGAAGCTGTGTGGGGTTGTAGCAGCTACTTTTTCTTGCATAATCCTTGTGTGCCAGTCATTACTCCATGGGCTTCAAAAGCTCCTAGTCCTCTAATCCAAAAGGCTCAACAAACTATCCTTGTTAAGTACCTTAATCTCCCAACTTTACAGATGGAGCCTTGGAGGCTCAAGGAATCACAGTTGCTTCCAGGCCAAAAAAAAAAGAAAAAAAAAAAGCAAGATTTAGAACCAAGCAGCCTGTGTCGACCTGGCCCCATGATCCCAGCATCCACCACCCCCACTCCGTGACTTCACATTGTTTTTATAGCACTTTGATTTTATCTGCCTCATTCCTTCATCTTGGACACGGGAAATATCTCCAAACCCCAGCCTCTGCAGAATTCTATATCTGTGACAGACCCAAAAAGTGGTTGAGGGAGCTGGGCTGTGTGGGAGAGAGGACAAGGCCTCTGTGCACCAGGCATGTCTCAAATCAGAGCAAAGGTTTGTGGTGCAGCGAGGCTGCCACCAACAGTCTTTTGCAAGCAGGAAAATGGCTGGCCCTAGAGCCCTCGCAATGTGTGCTGATGCCAGATCCCTGTGGGGCCTGTCTAAACAGGCTGTTAGCCAAGGCTGCCCCCTGCTTCTATCTACCAAAGCCCTACGGCTCATCCTTAGGTACTGGACCCAGGGTACATCAGGATGACTGATGCTCAGCCTCCTCCTTCCTTCATGGTGTTCCTAAGTACCTGTGTGGACAAGGATCAGCAGCCTCCAGAATACACATAAATGTGCCTGCCTCCCTGCCTCCCTCCCTCCTTCCCACCCTCCCTCTCTCCATCCCTCCCTCCCTCCTTCCTTCCTTCTTTTATCCCCACCTCCCAGCCCTTCTCTACCTTCTTTTGCAGTGCTGGGAATGAACCAAGGGCCTCATATATTCCAGACAAATGCTTTACTCCTGAGCTATCCTCAGCCCTCTTCCTTAACATCATTTGGTGTATACAAAATAAAGTATGTAATGTATATATTTCAAGAAATCCCATCACTTCTAGTGTGGTCAAGATGAGGGGCCCACTCAGTGGAAATAGCCTGATGACTTCTTGTGTCACCTTCCAGCCATGCCCTGGACCCAGCAACCCCACTCCAGGTACAAACTGAGAAACTCTGGCCTCTGTGTACGGGAGGTGTGTTTAAAACTGAATAGAAAACAGAGGGCAATATTTCTCACAACGCCTCCTTTTCCTCTTTTGTTCTTTCAGGATGTAGCCCTGGCTGATTTGGTTGTCTTGAACTCACTGAGATTCCCCTGCCTCCAACTCCTGAACGCTGGGATTAAAGGTATGTGTTACTGTGCCCAGGTTTCTCATGGTTCTTTGAGCCACCCAGGACCTGGAAGTGACAAGACCACCGCCAAGGACCTTGAAGATCTACTCTAGGGAATCATCTCACCTGGGGAGTCACTCAAAGCTGGTTCTGTCTGGGGAAGCTTGGGGTCTGGAACTTTCTCTTCAGTAGAGCTGTGTGTATTAGCTTTTCTCTAGAACTATCCAGGTAGGAGAAAGGACTGAGGTTGGCCACAGAGCTATGGTGTGGCTGGGGGGACTAGAGAGTCTCTTCTGTTCTGAGACAGTGACATGGCTGAGAGTCAACAGTAGCCTTAGAGCTGGCCTTTCATCAAGTCCCAGTACAAATCCTGGGACTGGAGTCTCCCACCCCCACCTCCCATGTCTGGCTTCCTCATCATAACTCTCAGGGGTTTGGGAAGGCAGCTGAGAGCAATGACGGTAGAGCTGGGTTGATGCCTCCTGCCTAGTTTCTAGTGGTGAGATCTTGGGTGGGCTGTGGTTTTCTCCTTTATAACCAGGGAGTCAGTTGACTCTTCCTGAGAATAATGGAAATAATAGAAACCGTGTAGCTAGTGTCTGGCTCTGGGGGGTGGCCCCATCCATAGTTCATCTGTGAGATTTATTGGACACTTCCTAGGAAGACCACGGTGGCCGTAGCAGAGTGAGAAGTTAGAGGGTTTTGGTGGTGACAACACCCTGGGACAGCTAGCACACATATACAGTGTCTTACCTCTCTGTAAAATGGGAATAACTGCACCTAGCTCCCCCAGTCCCGCAAGGCTTCAATGAATATAAAAGTCTCAGGTTAATGGATCTCCTAAGTGCTTAAGAAATGAAAGTGATGTATTTCTTATTCACAATACCTGAAGGATTCCCTGGCTAGTTGGTCACACATTCTGCGTCAGCTCTGAGCTATACTTCTCAGGGGCTTACAATTGCCCAACTGTGTCCTGATTGCTCTCCGGCTCTGGGGACTTGCAAGGCTGATTCTTAGTTCCGAGCAGAGGATGAGTGCAAAGGAAGCTGTCTTAAGCTTGTTGCTTTCTGACCCTTTCCTCTGACTGGGATTTGTCCTACCTTTCTCTCTCTAGGGCACTCTGGGCATCTCATCCCTCTGTCTCATTTCCTCTCCATAAACGAAGGTGAGGCTTCTGTCCCTTTGCGGGACTTAGGCTGCACCTATTCCACAAAGGAAGAAGCCTAAGCTGAGGTGGCAGATGACTAGATCAACCGCTTCTAAAATGTAAACAAGCCAGAGTCGGACCCTCTCAGGGGGAGCTCAGTGCTTCCTTCTGAACCATATGGCCTTGGGTGACCAGGTGCAAGAAGGAATGGATATTGCACAGTCTGAAGCTGGAGGACTGTGATCCATTCTGGGCCCAAGTTTTGGATGCTGCCTGTGTTCCAATCTGAGCTCTGCCTGGCCCCCACAGTACCCAGCACAGGCCTTCCTTCCAAGGCCCTAGAAGCTTTCTGTGATTTCTTCACCCCATTCCTGCCCTGAGGTCCTGCAGTCATGGCTTATTATATCAGACATCATCCCTGTGCCCACCAGAGGCAACACAGCACCCTGGGGAGGCCAGATCCCTTTAAGCTAGATGCTCTGGGAGTGTTCCCTGTCACTTTCAGCTCAGCCTCAACAGCTCCCAGGGCTTTGACCAACTGCTTGGACTCAGAGTCTATGGTCAAAGATGGATGTAGCCCAGGAACCTCCTGAGGGGACTTCCCCCAAATGGCTCAGAAACCACACCCTATGTCTCCTGACCATTTGGTCCAGTCAATTCCTTACACATCTAGACAGGCAAGCTGGCTCAGAGAGGGATAGGTACCTGCCTAGAGTCACATAACCCAGAACTGAGTACAGATCTGGGATCGGAGCTCAGCTCCTCCCCACTCCCTTCTACACACAGCCAGCACCCCGTCCTTCTAACCCTGTGTCTCCTTCTCCCTGGGGGCTTGAGCTTACACGACTGTTTCCCCAGCTTTGGCTTATGGATCCATTATCTGGAAACAGTTTTCTTCAACTGGAGCCCCAGGTCCTTGGAGCTGAGGAGTGAGCACCTGATATAACGGAGAGACAGGGAAAACTGCCCGGATGTGGCACGGTGGGAGACTGGCCTGCCAAGGACATCAGCTTAGCCCCTAACTCCTCATTCAACAGAAGCAGCCAACAGGCCCCTAGGACTACAGCTGCTCAGGGCTGGGTCCAGGGCTTAGAGATCACCAGATGCAGCCCTGGTACAGATAGGGAAACTCAGATCCAGAGAGGCAGAAGGCGCAGAGCAGTTAGGCAGCAGGGACGAAAGCCCCTGGAAGGAAGCCCCAGAGACCGGCGCAGGGACCCATGTCTGTGGCTGGTCCTTACCTTGACTGGTGTCTGGTCCAGGGATGACTCTTCGGAGGAGGAGGCCCAGTCTATTTGGGGTGTGGTTGTGGGTGTTACTGCTTCTCAACTAAGTTCACTTGGGTCTGGCACCTCTTGATGCTACAGGGGCATTTTTAAGCAACTGGCACAGGACCCCCCTCTACTCAGCCCCTTGCCCGTGGCTCTCTGGCCACCGAGGCCTCGCTGCCTTTTACCTTATATGAGCTGAAGAAGCAAGCCTGGTGTTGGGGCAAGGCGGGTGCTGAGTCCTCCCTGGGTCCCCCATTGGCCAGGGCGCCAGCCACGTGACTGCCTCGCCTTGACCTGCCCCTGGTGCCGAATGTTGCTTTTACCCCCTAAGGAAGGAGTGGTTGACAATTTTCATATTTCTTCTAAATTTGGAGGTTTCAGACAATGCTGAGGGCTTGGCTCCAGCCCCCAGAGCCCATGTGGAAGTTATTAAACTGGAGAAGGGCAGCAGGGGGAGGAGGAGGTAGGGAGGAGAGGAGGAAGAGAGTGGGGGACGGACTTCTGAGGGTTGCCAGTTGTCAGCCTGGGAACTCAGCAAACTCCTGGGAGAGAGCTGTGTGTGTGAGAATTTCCTTTTTCTCTTGCTGCTCCGAGTCCCAGGACGGGGACCAGGGGCCCTGAGATGTTTTGAGAATCCAAGAGGAGGACAGCAGTTGAAGCTTCTGGGGCTCGACGGGTGATGGGAACGGCGACACATGGCAGGCCCTAGGGAAGGCAAATCTCTTCTCCAGAAATCCAGTACCTTGAGCAGCTGCTCCTGTCCCTGTGCAAAGGGGGTCCAGGGCCCACAGTGAGGCTGCTCAGATAGGGCAGGCTTTTGTAGTCAGGCATGCCCTGCTGGGAACTCTCTCACCCTAAGGAACAACCACAGCCTCTTTATTTTTCAGTGTCTCAGGGTATGGGCTAGGTGGTCTAGGACTCTCAGGTCTGGGTGCAGAGTTTACAGGCATGCATCGCCACACCCAGCCGTAGGCCTGCTCCTGCTCTACTGACAGACATCATCTCTGAGAGAACTGTGGGCTGTCCCTATCACAGGCCCTCTCCCATCTTCTTAGGACTCTCCTCACACGTTCACACTTGTCTGCCTGGTTTACCACAGGCTCTTCTATGAGGTAGTGACTTCCTGAACAAGCACTGGGCCTCCAGACTTCCCCGGGCTGGTCAGAAATGCATATGGAGGGGCCGCAGGAGATGCCTTGGCCAGTGGGAAGCTCAGCTCCGAGGCCTGCGGAGAGCTCCCCCCAGTGGCCAGCCATGCCTTTGCCGAGGGCGACCACACTGTCCTTGCCCTTCCTGGCTCAGGGTTTCCCTTCCATGGCCACACTAGGCGACTTTCCACTGACCATTCACAGTCTGATATAGGCACACGGGCCACAGGCTGGGCAAGATCCAGGGCTGCCCAGCTTTCCCTTTCCTGGGACCACACTCTATGATCTGCTCTTGTTTGTGTTCCTGTGAACAACAGACTCAGGCTATCCTGTGTGGGTCCAACCAGGGGATCTTAGGGTATGGTGTGAGAAATCAGACTGTTGATATTGGGGACAGAGAGGAAGCCAGGTCTGTCTACATAGGTTTGACTGTCCTAGTAGTCCCTATGTAGACCAGGCAGGTCTTGAACTCAGAGAGACCCTGCCTGACTCTGCCTCCTGAGTGCTGGTATTAAAGGCATGTGCTACCACACCTGGATCACACTATTGATCTTAGCTGGCTCCCAATCAACTAGGAGAATAATACATTCCTCGCCTACCAACTGATCCTTGAGGAAGAGTTCCTGGATGTGGACCGGCCTGCGCCTCTTCTGCCTTCACTATATCCAGCTTTGAGTGAGGACAAAGTTATCTGTGGCACTCTGAATTTTCATCTTTGTGACAGTAGGGTACTAGCCACTTTCTCGCTGCAAGGCCATTGAGGATTGGCAGGGTGGTAATGCATCCGGGGCGGGGGGTGGTTGTGGGGGGAAGGGGTGGTGTGAGCAAGAGAAGGGGAGGGGGCTGGAATCATCCTGGGCTCAGCTCTACGCCTTGATGCCTGAGAGACTAATAATAATGGCCTCCCTCCTCCTTAGGACAGAGCTGATGAAGCCCTCAGTTCCCAAGGGATTGCCACACAGCAGTTGCTGATGATGTCTCTGCTTCCTTCCGTGGGTTGGGAGATAACGACACACATGCTTTCTTTGGAACGCAAGTGAGCGATGCTGGGTGGAGAAGTCTCATCATGTCCCCTTCCCCAGGTTCTGCATGGGAGTTAGCCATCTGACAAGGTGCCCAAGTGAAACTCTACCTCTCCAACCCCTGGGTTCCAGCTGAGTACAATAATGGGCTGTCTACAGGGCCCAGAGGGAAGGCAAAGCCAGCTCAAGAGAACCACGAAGGAAAACTCCCTCTAGAGACCATGCTACCTTAGTCATGCACTCTGGCTTCTGACTGAAAGAAGAAGCGACAGTGTGAGCTCTGGGGATGTGTCATTGCCCGTTCCTATCAGCTCTGCAGTGCTGCCTAGCCGGCTCTGCCTGTGAGCTAACAGCACGATTACCAAAGAGTCCACTGGCCACTCAGGTATTGTCTTAGTCAGGGGTTCTATTCCTGCACAAACATCATGATCAAGAAGCAAGTTGGCCAGGAAAGGGTTTATTCAGCTTACACTTCCACATTGCTGTTCATCACCAAAGGAAATCAGGACTGGAACTCACACAGGGCAGGAAGTAGGAGCTGATGCAGAGGCCATAGAGGGATGTTTCTTACTGGCTTGCTTCCCCGGGCTTGCTCAGCTTGCTTTCTTATAGAACCCAAAACTTCCAGTCCAAGGATGGCACCACCCACAATGGGCCCTCCCCCCTTGATCGCTAATTGAGAAAATGCTTTACAGCTGAATCTCATGGAGGCATTTCTTCAAGGGAGGCTCCTTTCTCTGTGATAACTCCAGCTTGTGTCAAGTTGTCACACAAAACCAGCCAGTACAGGTATGGTGGTGCATACCTGTTTTCCCAGCTCCTTGGGAGACTGAGCCAGGAGGACAGCTTTAGTCTAGGAATTGAAGGCCACACTGGCCAATAGACAAGGATGTTGTCTCTCTCAAATCTTCCTCTAAAAAAAAAAAATCAGCTTTCATGACCTGGACTTAGAGAGACCTGGGAAGATAGGACTGCCTCTAACTTTGCAAGGGGACTAAAGAGGGGCTGTAGTCTGTGCAGGTGGAGACACAGGAGAGACTTTTTTTTTTTTTTTTTTGCACAGAATCTCATGTAGCCCAGGCTGGCTTCAAGGTTGCTGTGTAGACAATGCTGGCCTTCAATCCCTGATGTTTCCCTTAGCTCCCGAGTGCTGAGATTGCAGGTGTGTGCCATCACACACATTTATGCAGTGTTAGGGAGCCAACCCACAGCTTGTGCATGTTAAATCAACACTCTAGCAACTGAGCTACATATACCCCCAGTCCTGAAAGACCTTGAAACAATCACTGAAGACGTGAAGGCTAATAGGGGCTGATGGATTATCCCCGTAAAGCAGGGGATTCTCTGCCACTAGAAAGTGCAAGTAGAGGGTAGATACAAACCTGGGAAGTCCCTTCCAGCTCTGAGACCCTCTCAATTTCATTTCCTATGTCAGCCCTCAGCCTTTCCCTGATACAAGCCAAGAGGTGAGAAAAATTATATTTAGACAGGGTCCATAACCCCTAAGTTAAAAGTTAAGCTCCAAGCTGGGCGGTGGTGGTACATGCCTTTAATCTGCTGGGAGGCAGAGGCAGGCAGATCTCTGTGAGTGGAAGACCACCCAGGTCTACATAGTGACTTCTGGGATAGCTAGGTCTATGTAGAGATAACCTTAGCTCAAACAAACAAAAAAAGAAAAGAAAAAGAAAAAAGTTAACCTCCAAAACATCGTGGTGACACACATCCATTTCACCTCTTAGGAGGCTGAGGCAGGAGAATCACTAAGAGCCCAAGGCCTGTGTATTAATTACTTTTCTATTGAGAGAGCAAACTGAAGGCAGGACAAGGGTTTGAACTCTCAAAGCCTACCCCCCAGTGAAGTACTTCCCTGAGCAAGGCTCTATCACCTCCCCAAACAGTACTACCAACCAGAGACCAAATGGTCAAATACTGGAGACCACTGGAAACATTTCTCATACAAACCACCATGACCTGCTTGGGTCATAGACCCAGGCCAGCTCAAGTGAGACTGTATCTCAAGACCCAAACCCAAACTGAAACTTTGTATCCACAACTCATCACAACAAACAAATAAACAAACAAGCCAGACATAGAAACACACTAGGAAGCAGAGGCAGGCAGAACTCCATGAGTTTGAGGCCTGTCTGGTCTAAACAGCAAGTTTCAGGCTAGCCAGGGATATAGGGTGATGCCCTATCTAAACAGACACAAACAAACCAAAACCCCAAAACAACAATAACAACAAAAATCCCCAACCCCAGAAATGTTACATGCCTTCTCCAATGGTGCTTGAATGTGGGAGGTGAGGGCACATGACTTCTTCACTGCTGACATTTGGAATGGCTCATCTCCACTGTCAACTTGACTGGCTTTAGATTGACCATGAAAACGTCTCTTTGAGAGAGTCTGTGAAGATCTATGAGGTCGGAAGACTCCCTCTGAATGTGGGTGGCATTATCCCACAGGCTGGGGTCTGAGATGGAATAAAAAAGAGAAGGCAAGCTGAGCCTGGACCTCCGTGCTTGCTGCTTCCTGACTGCCTGTACGGTGTGACCAGCCTTGGACCGCTGCTCTCATGACTTCCTCCACCTGATGAACTGTACCTTCCAACTGTGAGCCAAAATAAACCTCTTTCTCATTAAATGGCTTCATATATATATATATATGACTCTGTGTGTGTGTGTGTGTGTGTGTGTGTGTGTATGTGTGTCTAGTACCATAGTGCACATATGGAGGTCAGAAGACAACTTTTCAGAGTCTGTTCTTTTCTTCTACAGGTCAAATTCAGGTTATCATTCTGTGTCTTTATCTGTTGAGCCATCACACTGTCCCAACAAGAAGTAAGTTAAGTAAGTTGCTTTTTTGAGGAAAGTAATTAATCCAAAATTAATTTTCTTTCTCTCTTTTCTTTCTTTCTTTCTTTCTTTCTTTCTTTCTTTCTTTCCTTCCTTCCTTCCTTCCTTCCTTCCTTCCTTCCTTCCTCCTC